TGTCAGAAAACAACTTAAAATTAGCTCGTGGTTCCCAAATAGCGCAGAGGTGTGCTGGGAGCACAGCTCCAGCACCGAGGCGGGGTTTGATGTCAGGACAGGGAACAAAAATGGTCTTGTACTGGATTTACATCTTTCCCTTCTTCAAAGGCTGTTGGATACGGGCTGGTTTGGGGCTGAGAGCTCCCTCATTACAGGATCCCACCACTGGCCGTGCCCCGGAGCAGCAGCAGGAGCAGCAGCGAGGAGGGGAGGCTCCATCCTGCTGTAAATGCAGCATTTTTCATCAGTGTGCCCCAAAGTGCAGCAGGAATCCCATAAATACCTGGTGATTTAGCTCAGCAATCAGCAGGGGAATCGTGCCATCCTTTACACACCAGCTAACAGCTCCAAGCAGCAACTGGTGTTCTTAGCCCTGTGTTTCCCTCCTGGCAGCAAGAAGATGCCTTTTGTTTCAGCTTATGGCTTTTAAATATGGCACCAGGCTCTTCTTTACACCCCCAGGGCATTTCTTGGCCACGGTATAGCCTGGATAAATGAGTTTATCTCTCCTCTCTGTATTTTCCCAGCTAATTGAAGAGGGAAATTGGTTTGGATTTCTGGTTTTGGTTTTGGTTTTTGTTTTTCTTCTGGAGGCCTTATATTTTCTGCAGTTTTGTGAGCCACTTGTTTTCCCCAGTTTCTACCCATGGCCAAACTGCTGCCAGAAAAGAAGTCTGATGGAGATGCCATAGGAAGTTGTGGAAGATGCTGCTCGTGGCATGTGGCAGCTGCTGAGTGGATGTGGGGATGGCCCTGACCCCTCCAGAAGCTTCTGTCCCGTGAGCATCTCTGGAGTGTCCCAGAGTGTCCCTGCCTGACTAGGCAGCAGGACCATCAGAAAACACAAAAAGAGCTTCTTTTTTTTTTCCCTGGCACACAAGAGAACAGCCTTGCTGTCCTGTGGAATTTTATAATTAGCCTTTCTTATGTTGTGGCTGCTCCTTGAATAAGGCTGGCTGTGTTTTCTTTTCCTCAGAGCAGCGTAATCCCCATGCCTGATACTGCCAAGCCACTCAAAGCACACACAGGAACGATGTAGACATGGAAAAAGGCTGAAATGCTGCCCCAATGCCCAGAGAAATCCTGCCCAGGGAGGAGAGCATCTTATCCCTGCATGTCCACATTATGCTCCTGGTCAGCAAAACCTGGATGTGGATTGTTGCTGGAGCTGGTGATTCCCAGTCCATGGGCCCTGGCAGACAGCCAGGACAGTGGGGAGTCTGTCAAAGTTTAGGCAAAACAGACTTAAAAGGCACCTTTGAAACTTGTGCTCATGATCTGGTTAATTAGAACTTTGCTGCTACTGGGAAATAAAAGCGCCTAATTGCTAATTACAAGAAAGGAACAGCAGAAGCAGTTGGCGACAGTTGTAGCCAGAGCTGGCTTTGTGCAGAGTTAAAATACAAAACCCAGGCTTTTTAGGGCATTTAGAAGTCTGGGCTTTGCATAGCAGCAAGTGAAAAATCCAGCAGCAAGAGCCATAAGGCAAATTCTGCCTCCCATGAGAATGAGGGCAGGAATCCTGTGGCTCACAATATCAACTTGTTCAAAGCCAAAAGCACACCAGGCTCCAAAAATTGCTGGTGAACTTAAGAATTCATAAGCGTGGGAAACCCAGTATGTTTGGAGGTTCCTTTTCTGTGTTCCTTTTCTTCAAGGCTGCTGAGACCCAAGAGTTTCACATTATCTGGCTTTTACTTGCAATGATGGTTAAAATTGTTAAAAGGCTGTAATAGTTAAAAATTATGAAGTGTGCAGAATTCTTTTTAAAATAAAGAGATGCCCTGGTCAGGAGCAGAAGCAGACAACATGAATGTGTAGAGCAGAGGTGGTAGAGGTGGATGGGGAAGGTTTCCAGCCACAGGATGTCCCTCACCACGGGCTGAGCACAAGGATAGGCCAGATCCCTTTAATGTCCTGAGCAGAGATGCCTTGGATGGTCAGACAGGAGAAATCCTGTGAAAAGGGACCTCTAAAGGTAATTTCTTGCCTAGGAACAAGCAGGGAAGACCATGGTTTGCCCAAGGAACAGATCTTCAAGGGAAGGAGGTCAGAACCATCCCCTCCTGCTGCATCCCAGTGCTGGCTCAGGGCTGACAGAAGTATTTCCAGCCAGATGGTTATTGCTGACTTCCTCTCCAGGTGGGCACTCAGACAGCAGAGGAGGGAGGTGGGAAGGAGCTGAAAAGCCCAAATCCTCTGAAAAAGCTTCTTCCTTCCCCTCGAGGCGTAACCCAGGCTCTGCCAGCACCCAATTTAAGGATGTGTCCCTGCCTGCCTCCCTGAAACCCGAGCCATTCCCTCCCCGCCATGTCTCCTTAGCAAGCTTCCCTCTCTTCTCTTTCTGCTTCTTCTTCCTCTTCTCCTCCCTTCTCCTGCTCCCTCTCTTTTTCCTTTGCTTTGGGGATGATCTGTCCCAGGATGGGTTGCAGGGCTGCCATCCTGCTCTAACCCAGCAGCAGCAGCCCCTAAAGAGTGAGGAGATGACAGGCTGGAGCTGTTCTGTTGATGGATGAGATCCATTTTCTTCCCCCTTTTTAATTTTTTTTTAATTTACTAAGCAAGATCTCACCTAAAGAAATAGTTCCTGCCTTATCCCCATCTCATCTTACCAGGCATATTAATTTCAAATGTTATTTTAAATTGTTTTATAATTAACTAGCCAGCTCCTTTGTTTATTTCAAAAGAGGACAGATATTTCTGGGATTTGATACACACATCTTTATATTGGAGAGAAAATAACAAACAGGTATGTGGATTTATATCTTTTTTTTTTAGGTTAGGATGGTAATTACAAATAATGATCTGATGGGGTGGTGGCAGCTGAAAAACTGTGATTTCTCCTGAAGTTGTTTGAATTGTTAAAAAGTGGAAGAAGTGATAAATAGAGAACTGGGGTTCACTCCAGCTGTGGCCAAGGGGTACAAGGGGGACCAAAAGGGATTAAAAGACCTGTGGGGTCCTATGCCCAGGTGGGAGGAGGGAGTTTGCACCGAGGGCAAAAGGCTGGCTGGGCACAGTGTGTCTGCTGTGGTGTGTTATTTGGGGTGAAAGCAGGGACTTTCTGTGCCCCACATCAAAGCCCTGATCCTCCCCTGTGAGTTTTGTACCATCCCTGGTGGTCAGTGCTTGTCCAAGACGGGGGTGGATGGAGGATTTGCTGCTTCCATCGGGTCCATGGTGAAGGGTGGCTTCACAGGACATCTGACAGCTGGAAAATCTTGGTGTGCAGGGGCTTCCATAAACCCACATTAAATAACAGATTCATCACAAAATCATAGAATGGTTTGGGTTGGAAGGGACTTTAAAGCTCATCCCATTCTACCTCTTTGCCATGGGCAGGACACTTTCCACTATCCCAGGTTGCTCCAAGCCCCATCCAGCCTGGCCTTGGACAATTCCAAGGATGGGGCAGCCACAGCTTCTCTGAGTGACGTTAAAAGGGTTTTGCAACAGTGCCATAATGACTAATTATGGCTTAAAAGCAGATTTTAATCTGTGGGGATTCTGAAAGAGCCCCAATACCCCTGGGTTTAAGGAAGGGCATTCAGTTTTCAGCTGAATCCTGAGCGTTGGGGTGAGGGTTTCGAAGCAGCTGGAAAAGCACAGAGATGTAAAATTTGGTTTTCCCTCTTTGGGGCCAGCCGTGGCACGGCACCGCAGTGGTTAATGCCCGCTGCCAGCCTGCCAGGGAGCAGGAACGCGCTGGCTCCGGCACAAAAGTGGCCGGCGATGACAAGGTCCCTGCGGGCAGGAGGCGATGCCGGGGTTTGGCCGGGCCAGGGCGGCGGAGGGGCCGCCTGTCAGCCCTGCCCCGCTGCACCCAGGGCAGGGCCCGTGGGACAAAAGGCGACATTATTCGGTGCTTCAGGAGGGATGAATGGAGTATTGAAAGGCAGCACCTCAGCGAGTAGATTGGTTTTCAGCCCCCATCAGTGAGCTGTCTGTCGGCTGGTGAGTCTCCTCCAGAGGCTGGGTCAGCAGAGATCAGGGAGATGGAGAGGGGCTGTGTCCCATCCACACGGGCTCCTTCCTGCACCTCCATCACCTCTTGCTGCTGCACAGAAAACACTCGGTCCATCATCATCTCTTCCCAGTGCAGGCAATGAAACCCAAGCCTTGGTCCTGAGGCTCTGGGTCCCCCCAGCCCATGGTCTGAAGGGGGCTCGGCTGGGTGGCCACCAGCGCACGGTCCCACCTGGGAGCTCTTCTCATCCCACGCCTCCACATGGGAAAACCAGGAGCGGCAAAAGGCTGGATGAGGGGTTTCCACGGGAAGGAGGGGTTAGTCAGTGGTACAGCGGATTTCAATGAGCTTTCCCAAGTTTCTGACCGCCGGTGGTCGCCTGCAGAGGCAGCAGTCGTTGTGCATCCCTTCAGGAGGTGGTGTGCGGGCTGCAGGAACTCAGCTCGGGGCTCCGCGGAGCCAAGGCTGGCAGCCCGGCTTGGGAGGCGGCGTGCGGGAGCATCCTCACGATGGCACTGCTCCCCCAGCACGGCTCCAGCCCGGCTGGGTCACCGCGGGATGCGCGGCCGGGCTCCCAGGGCTGTCCCCATCCCCTTCCCGGACAGCCTGCCAGCGAGACACAGCTGGAAATCCACCCAATCCACCCCTTCGGCACTGAGCAATGAAATGGAATCTTAAGATATTTAATCTCTTCCTCATTTTCTGCTGACGTTCCCTGTTGCTGAGTTCTATCTTGCAGGTGGGATACGGCCCTTCAGCTTCATCTTGCCACTCAAATATATCTCTTGTTTTCAATGAATCCAGCCGGAATTGCTTTTCATGTGTCTCCTGGTCACTGTTCCTGGAAATATTGAGGAGGGACATATTGACAGGTCCTGCATGGCCCTTGGTGAGCACAGGCTCTCCTGGCCACCACCACTAACACTGCTGCCTGCGTGTTTCAGGGAAGCGTCCTCTGGAAATTCACCTGCGGGAGGGCTGACAAGCAGCGATGCCACTCGCTCCCTGCCCAGACACCCGGCACGGCACCAGGAGCTCGGACATCGAGGTGCTGCCCCTCTCCTTGATGCCAGCCACGCTCCTCATCCTCCTCGTCCTCCTCAGCCCCACCGGTGAGCTCCTGCCTGCGACACTGGGTGGGGGTTTTAGGCACCCGTGATCCCTCTCCAGCTCTCAGATTCGTGGGAAGATTTTCTCCAGGCACAGGATTATTGTGGTGTGGGATGGAGGGAGCAAGTTCAGCTCTTATGTCCCACCGTGACCTGGCTGTGACAGCAAGCCCAATGCTCAGGACAGGCAGGGGAATGGGGCCAGCAGCTGCCAGCACTGGCGACAGAGCAGTTCTGGGAAGATGCTGATGGCCAAGGGATGCTCCTGGGGTTGCTCCCCAGTCCTGACGAGGAAACGGGTGGAATGAGCACCCATCCCCTGAGGACAGCAGTCCCAATTTCTGGCAGGCATTGTCCAGCCAGAATGGAAAACATTTAAATAGACCTGGGAAAAGCCATTCCCGCTCTGTAACACTCTCCCCATGTAATAATCACAGCCAGGAGGTGGGGAACACATTCCTGCCTCAACAAACCCATGTCAAGGCACAGCCAGCCAGAAAACTGGGAATTCAGCCGAAGTCAGACATCCTAATTGAGTTAAATCGGGTTTTACCTTCCCACCTCCTCAGCTGGTGCTTTCCTTCCCCCTCGGGATGCTGCGGCAGCATCCTGGCCCACACTCCAGGTGTGGGGACCCTGGGGTGGCCCTGGTGGCTCTGTCGCTGTCCCCTGCATCGCTCTTCTGGTTCTCGTCATTAATGGGCACAAATTAGCCGCTAACGAAGGGCCATTTGTCCTCCCATTTGGTGGTTTTGTTTAGCAGCGGTGTTTACTCGAGCAGTTTCCCTTTTTCTTTTGGCTTTGTGAAGCTGGATCAGAGGAACATGGAGGGCTCTATCTCTTCTCAAAAAAGACAGCTTCCCCCTCGCTCCTCATTATTATAGACACACCAGGCGTATTCTTTTCAGATCTCTCCTGACTTTGCTGGAGGATGCTCTTAAATGAATATTTCAGGGCTTTGATTTTGACTTAAAGGGAGATGAATATTTATCAATGTCCTTTTCATCCACTGCTTTTTCGGCATTGGAGTGGACTAGGTGTTAAAAATCAATACAAACCAGGATCAAACACTCTTCCTAGAAACCCTTGCGTCTCCCCATTTTTGGTGCAGGTGTGAGCTGAATTATCTCTACCTTGTTGTCCAGCCCACGGGGCTGCTGTATCCTTCCCTGTCCTCTCCTGCAGAGCCTCTCTGCACCTGTGTAATCCCCAATTCTTGCTGGAATCACAGCATCCCTTCCCATGCCTGGTCCAGCCGTGTAGGGCAGGAGCAGTGACCACGCTGGAGCTGCTGCTGTTCATCCCAGCATCCCTGCTAAGTCATGGATACAACCGACAGTTGCCTTATTCTCCTTTCTCTTGGGGCTTCTAGGTCTTTCTTTGACAGCCCTGATTTCTGGCTGACTTAATGGTCTCCCAGGCAACGTCCTAGCAAGGAAAAGGGAGGTGGGTTCATCTGCTCCACTGTCCCCCCAGGCTCACACTGCTTCTCACGGTGGTGACATCACGGGCTGGGATTGACCTTCCCGTCACTGCTGGCAGGCTGAGCGTGGAGCAGGACAGGGCTGGTCCGAGGCAGTGGGAGGAAAAGAGGCCACGGAGGCACCACGGGTGCTGATCAGCCCCTGGCTGATGGAATTAGCACTGAGGCATCACAGAATCATGGATTGGTTTGGGTTGGAAGCCACCTGAAAGCTCATCTTGTTCCAAATCCCTGCCGTGGGCAGCGACACCTTCTGCTAGGTTTGGAAGGATTTTGGAAGGTGACGCCCATGGGAGAGGGTTCTGCAGCCAGAGCCTCAAGCCCAGGACACCTCGAATGCCCAGGGAGATCTGTGCTGGGCTCCAGCATCAGACCAGTGCTGTGGAGTGGGATGTCTACGAGGTCAAGCCACCCATCCCCAATCACTGTCCCCCAGGGCAACATAATCATATTGTTGTGGCCTTCTGGACAAGCTGGAGCCCTCAATGACCCATGCTGGCAACATGAGAGGATCCCACATCACTCAGCACTGGGGCTGAGAGGGATTTTGTGCCCAAATAATGCCCAGACTGTGGGAGGGGGACACATCCTGCATCCTTCAAGTGCTCACCTCCCTCTGGATGAGGTTTGTTCACCCCCTAAGGGGCTGCACCCCATCAGCAGGTGTGTTGGTACTTGCATGTAATTATGGAGCTTCCAAAAAGTGGATTTTGTTGGGGAAATAAAAGAAAAAAAATCAATTAAAATGCACATAATTTAAGGGTGCAGCATCTTCCATCAGGAGATCTCCATTGGGTTTCTCAAGATGGGCAAGACTGATTTTCCTGGTTCTCATTTCACCACCCAAGTTTTCCATGTGGGTGATGGGGCAGGAGAATTCAGGAACTGCCCAGGGCCCACAGCAAGGCAGCAATGGAGCCAGGGATGGACAAAAAATGTCCCCAAGACCTGGCCCAAGAGAAGACTCACGTGGAGTGGCTTCTGCTGGGCTTATCAGGGTCACACATGCGTCACTTTGGGCTTCAAGCACAGTTCCACCAGAGTCACAGTCACTCATGTGCTGCCTCAGTTTCCTCTCCTGTGAAGCAGATGAAGTCATGCCTTGGGGAAGTGTGTTCATTTTTTTCCCCTAGAAACACCAGGACTTTGCAGGAAAGGGTCCAAGGGCTGCTGGGTCCTGCCAGTCCCCACCACACCCATCCCATCCCTGCTGCCATCGCTCTCCAAGCTGCACCTCCTCCTCTCTGGGGAGAGCTGATCCTTTCTCTTCTCCCTTGCAGGCACCACCTCTGAGCCTGAGATATTGCCATTCCCAGGTGAGATTCTTCTCTTAAAGTCACTTTTCTCCAGGAAGTATTGTAGTTGAAAAATGCATTATTAGGTAAAAGAAGGGATTTGGAGAAATTTTAAAAGGAAAGATATTGTTTTGGAACAAAAAGCAGCAAGAAGAAGCCAAACTTTTACAGAAAGGAAATAAAGATTCTTTATTATCCCTATTCCACTTATTAACCCGAGAGAAGAATTTTTGGCACCTCCTGCTGAGTCCCTGTCCCTGTGCCATGCATCACACACGTGTAAATAATTCCCTTGGTGTGGCAGACCCCAGGCACTTCCACGCCTTGTCCCCATCACCAGCAGCTTGAGAGATCATCTCCATCCCACCAGCTCTCATGTGGGACCAGCTCTGGGTGCATTCATTGAGGCCAATAAGAATTTGCTCATTGCATCCTGTCATTTGTCACCTGTTGTATGTCAACATGTGGTGCCACATGTCTGCTTTTCCCTTCTCCCACTGGGCTTTTGCCCTTTAGCAGGTGACATGGGAGCATCACAGAGCCACAGAATGCTTTGGCTGGGAAGGGACCTTAAAAACCATCTCATTTCACCCCCTGCCATGGGCAGAGACACCTTCCATTAGAGCAGGCTGTCCAAATCACCATCCAGCCTGACCTTGGTGATGGTGCATCTCATTCCTGGATTGAGATGTGCTGTGTCTCCACAGCCACTGCTGCCAGCAGATGAAGGGGAGCCCACATCCCACCAGCAGCTGGGCAGCACCAAGCCAACAACTGCCATGTGCTACAGAGAAGGGGCAGGATTTTATTTAAGGAGCAGGAGTTTGATGTAGATTTACTCCCCAATGCCCACTGCCATGTTCCCACCTTCCCAGAGATCCGTCTCGCCAACGGGCCCAGCCGCTGCCAGGGGCGGGTGGAGATCCTCTACAACGGCTCCTGGGGGACGGTGTGCGACGACGACTGGGACATCGTGGATGCCACCGTGGTGTGTCGCCAGCTGGGCTGTGGCCATGCCATCACCCTGCCGGCTGCCATGACCTTTGGCCAGGGGAGTGGGCCCATCTTCCTGGACAATGTGGACTGCAAGGGCTGGGAGGCAGCCCTGAGCGAGTGCTGGAGCCACGGCTGGGGCATCCACAACTGCTACCACTACGAGGACGTGGCTGTTGTGTGCAATGGTAACCAGGTTGTGTTCCTTGGGGGCAAGGAGAGCAAGGGGTTCCTGTGGAGTGCAAGACTTGAGGGCTGCAGGGGCCTTGGTGGAGCCCAAGGGTCTCATCTCAGAGCCTGTTCCTCTGACCTGGGTCAGCCAGAAATCCTCAGCAGCCTCCTTTCACCCCTCTCCTCAATCCAGGTCACCTCCCAGCTCCACAGGAGGGTGCTCCATAAGGTGACCAGCCTGTTTTGTGCTCCTTGTCACTCCCAGCTCAGGGACTTTGTGCTCTCTCCAGTATGATCCCTGGGGAAAGAGCACACGCCCACCCACACTCCTGCCTCTGAGTCAGTTGCTGCCCAACTGCTCTTTCCCCTTTTGACTTGTGTTTCTTTAAATTGCTGAGCTCCTCAGTAGGAGATGTTCCTAAAGGTGAGAAAAGCAGTGGAAAGTGTTTGAACTTGGCAAGCGAAAGTGGAACGGCTCCGTGACGACCCTTGTGTACCCCACACACGTTCCTCCCTCGCTGTGCAGGGTTTGCTCATCAGCCAGGCATCAGTGAGCTGTGAAAATGAGGCTGTGCAGACCTGGAGCAGCTGCTCTGTGAATCCCCACACCCTGCAGAAGCAGGGCTTGGAAAAAGGAGGCAGGGAAAGGCAGGGAGGCTGGGTTGGCTGGTAGGTCATACCAACAGCAACCAGAGAACAGAGGCTGTGGATTGGGTGGGAAACTGAATCATGTCATTGTTGGAGAGGAGAGGTGGAAGGAGTGAACAAAGAGGTGGGGAGCTGGGTCTGAGGGCAGAAGAGATGCTGGAGGTGTTGGCAGAGAGCTCTGGGCAGGGCTGTGCAGCTGCAAACCCCTCTGTTTTCAGCTGGGGCTGGTTTGGTGCAGACCCTCCTGGAGCAGTGGGGTGGGGGGACCCCTCCAGCTTCAGGGTGGAGCAGCAGCAGGTGCCACCTCTGCTTCCCTTTGCAGAGTTCTCACCCACGCACGTCAGCGAAGGACCGACCACCAGGACCCTCACGGCCTCGGTACAGGACGGGGAAAGTAAGCTGTCATTGCAGGGGGGACATCCTGCCTGAGGGCAGTGTCCCCTTCTGTCACCTGCTGCCCCTCTTGAAGCCTCCCAACCATCCAGCCCTGAGGTGCAGACCCCCAGACCTCATCATTGTGCTGGCCATGGCCACACCCTGGCCAGAGGTTCCCAAGGTTCCCGAGCCCAATTTCCCTAAAGCTTCACCCCTTCCCTGCTCTTTCTCACTCATTTCCTTTGCCATCACGGGCACGGCAGGGGCTGGGCACGGTGGCATCGCTGTGCCACGTGCAGAGACACCACATCCTCCTCACCTCTTGCTGCCACCCTCCAGGTGACGGCAGCATCCGCCTGGTGAGCGGCCCCGACACCTGCCAGGGCCGGGTGGAGATCTTCTACCGCGGGAACTGGGGCACCGTCTGCGATGATGACTGGGGCCTGAGCGACGCCAGCGTGGTCTGCAAGCAGCTGGGCTGTGGGCAAGCCCTGGATTACAAGAGCAATGCCTACTTTGGCTATGGAACAGGACGTATCCTCCTGGACAACGTCAACTGCGACGGCAGCGAGCCCTTCCTGTCTGCCTGCTACAGCCTCGGCTGGGGCATCCATAACTGCGGCCACCACGAGGATGCTGGGGTCATCTGCACAGGTACTGGGCAGGGCATCGCCCTCAGGGTGGGGAAAAACCCAGGGTCATCCTGTTCTCCAAGCAGAAGTGGCCTCAGAGAGATGCTGAGATGCCCAAGGCTGGGCAGGGACTGGGGTCTGAGCTGTGGGAGCATCCTTGCTCCTTATCCACCCTCATCCTGGTTCTCCGGTGTAGCAACCCCATGCCAAGAGCCCGGAGCACAGCCGGGGTGGTGATTTGCAGAGGAAATGCATCTGCCATCCTGCCATTTCCCTCTGCCATTTCCCTGCTCTGTTGGCTGGAAAACAAGCTGCCCGAGTCCGGAAGGAGAGAGCGGCTGCCAGGGCCGGGCACAGCGCCAGGCCCAGCCTGCCTCCCCTTCCCCTCCTGAAATGATGTATTCCTGCCATTCTCCACTGATTACTGTTTATAATGTTAATAATCCCCCTGAATTCCCTCATTATCATGGCTAATGATGGGAGCAGTAAGTGCCAGTGCTTTCCCTTTCCCACTATTAAAGGACAAAGGGGATGATGTAGGACAAAAGGGACAATTTTTTCAGGCTGGTCCTTTCCTTTCTAAACATTCCCCATCCCCTCTGGCACCTCCTCTGGGCACAAAGTCGATGGCACCACCACGCCCAGACCTTGCTCAGAGGGGCAGGGGATAATGAGGCATAAAAGGTAATGAATCCTGAATGACAAACCTCCCAGGTGTCACCTCTGTCCCTCTGTGTCACCACAGGGCTGGACACATCCACCATCACATCATTCACCACCTCGGTAGCCCTGGACTCCGAGGAGACGCTCACAGCCACGGCCACAGGTAGGAGTTTGGCAGTCACTCACCTTGGGGGGGAAGCTGTGCCCTCTGTGTCCTCCTGTGACCCGGCCTGGCCACCCTGGGGTCCTGCCATGGTGCTTGGGGGGTGACATTGCCCATGGCAGGGTCTTGCCAGGGGGCAGCCAGGGTGCTGGTGGGCACTGGCACCGACTGGAGCAGGGGCAGCGGGTGCTGGATCTGGAGCCCCCAATGCCCACACGTCCCCACGCCTGTCCCAGCAGTGACAGACAGCAGGGACCAGCCCTCCCAGGCCACCGAGGTGGTCACCACCACGCTCCCGACCATGGAGCAGGAAAGTAAGTGTGCAGCTGCTGCTACTCCTGCACGGGGCTCCACATCCCTGGGGGAGTCACTCCACATCCCCAGAGCTCACCCCATGCCCCTAGGGCTCCTTCCATGTCCCCAAAGGTCACACCGTGTTCCAAGTGCTCAATCCACGCCCCAGCAATTATCTGCCATCCCCAGGGCTCACACCACATCCCTGGGGTTTAATCCATGCTCACCCCATGATGCTCAAGGGTTCATCCAGCACCTCCAGGGGTTGCTCCATGCTCACAGTGCTCACCCCATGATGCTCAAGGGTTCATCCAGCACCTCCAGGGATTGCTCCATGCTCACAGTGCTCTCCCCATGATGCTTGGGAATCACCCCTGTAGCCAGTGTCACCCCACATCACCAGGACTCATCCTGTGTCCCCAGGGGCTCAGTTGATACGGTCACCCCAAGCTCTCCAGGGGTCACCCCATAACCCAAAGGCTCACCCCACGCCCACAGGGGTTTGCCCCACATCCCCAGGGGGTTGCACCCAACGTGCCCAGGGCTTACCCCAGAACCCGGGGGCTCACCCCACGCCCTCGGAGGGTCAGCAGGGGACACCGGCCGCCCTGCGGAGCCCCGGTCCCCCCGGCGTCGTGCCACGCAGGTGGCGGCTTGCGGCTG